TCTGGCAATTCTAAGAAAAGGAGGTGGAAGCACGATTATAACATTGCCTTTATCTCACGTGTAGTGGTCTGGAATTTCCTCTGATGATTAGATCACTTACAAAATTACACGCCGCGAAAAGACTGATGATAAAACATTGAAAAAAAAATAAATGAACACATGAAATAGGAACGCTATCGTCGCAGTTCTGGCGAGCATAGGTGGATCGTAAAATCGCTTGCGCAGCTCAAGATTACGATTACAGTTACGTGAGCTGGATTTACGTTTCGCAGCTTGAATTTTCACGAATCGCATCTCAGCTTTCTCGCGCAGATATTTTGATACGCTCTTAAAACGCTCGACAGCAAAGTTTAACGTTCAAGGTAATTTTTAAAGAGCGAAATATCAAATTCTGTCTAATCGGTTGAGCTTAGAAAAAAAATTCTTATTAGACAAATAAATCTAGATTATCACAGCGAAATGAATTGATGGCTCATCTGATCGCTTAATTTTTTCCTATAAGTCCACGCACGCCAAAGTTATTTCTTTCTGACGCTAAAACGACGCAGGTATCTCGAGAACGACGCAACGCTTCGGCGAATAGTTTGGACAAATTCATGATAAAAAAAAAAATAATGACGATGGAGGCTGATTCCTCCCGCCGATGACCTCGAAGCCAATCGGAAATTTTATAATGCCTCGGTCTCTCGTATTCGTGAGAACGAAAGAAAAAGAAGGGAAGAGAGAGAAATATACACGCAAGCGCGTTGTTGCCGCATCTCTCACCAAGCTGTGGACCGTCCAAATACGCTCCTCCAGTACCACCCCCCCGGTCCCCTCACCCATCGTCGCTCGCGAACTTAAGGCGAAGCTAGCGATATGGGCATATCTCTTTAAAGCGCTAGCCGGCGACGCAGCAGTGGTGCTCACGATCGATAGCACGCGAGTTGCGTCGAACGTCTCTACTCGCGTAAATAACAACAATTTACGTCTGCGTGCGGACACTGTGAACTATTGATGCGTAATCTACGTAGACAATGCATAATCCATTCAAACATCGCGCATAATGGCTGTACTTTCTTCTAGGAAATAGAGACTCTATTCGGAGAAATTACACTTGACTTCGCGGAGTTTCTAATCTGAAAAAATAGCTACGCGCGCAGATCAATCCGAGCGTCTTACATAACCGGGGAAATAACGTTCGATATTCGCCGGCGTTGAATCGATTATCGGGATGGAAGTAACACAGACGACGTTACGTGGAAAAGAAGCATAAGAAGAAATTCCGTCTCAGCCGGCTACGTACACTTCGCGACTCTGATCAGGTGTGTAGGATAAAAACCTGTTGGCTCGCCTTCTCCTCCATCCCTTTGTGAGCGAGACAGGTGGTTATAGGGCCCGGCAGCTTTCGACTCCCCGACGGGGACGAAGAAAGGACGAGAGAGGACGCGCGCGGACGAACGCGGGGGAAGATCGCGGTGGAAAATCTCGTGCCGGTCCAATCTCGTCGGGGATCCAATTTTTCCGGTCCGAATGCTCCTCGTAAATTCTCAACGGGTGGGGACGGCTTTACGAGCGAGGGGAAAACGCGAACGTACGGGCTCACAAACAAAGACTTGGCGAGTAACGGAGCGCATTCGAGATGCGCGGATTTGCGAAACGTGGAATAAGCGGCCTCATTATCGCGAGCGGGCATGGATGAGTCATGAATTCATAACCGAGTCCTGAGCTCCACTTTTGCGACTAGACTTCGTTACTTTCCACCCGCGAGTGTCCGTGACGGTCCACTCCGAATTATCATCGCAATGGCGAAAGAGGAACAAGGGATTTTGACTGGCAAACAAGATTTCCCATCTCTCTTCGGGAAAATCTCTATTGATTATTTCAGATGGGACCGAAAAGAGAAATCAATCCTAAACTGCTTACTTTTGATGGTTTATCGCAATTTGTGCGAAAATAAATTGTGTTCAACAAAAGTTCATAAAATCGAAAATTAAATTTCTTTAAAAATATTATGGATATACGTTTTTTAAGAAGAATCTTATTTTCTTTTAAGAAGAAAGAACGAAAAATTCTATTGCTTCTTTCAGATAATTTTTTATAACCGCGACGCGGATACATTTATCGATCGATTGCAAAAATTTCGCAGTTCGTCTTATAATGAGATCAGAGAAGCGAGAACGATTACGTCTATTTTCGCATAATACGCGCGTTTTCCTACGGAGTCACAAAAATATTGCGCCAGATACAGACATGCGCAGGCGAGCATTCGCGTGGCGTAAGATCCGAAGTGCATTGACCCCTTGGCCGCCATGCGAAAGGTGACTGTGTAGGAAAGTGATAGTTACGAATACGTGTGTTTGATTGTAATATGCTCGTCGCTTTATTACTTCCCCTTAAAAACCGCGATATTGACTTCCGCCTAATCAATATTAGCGCGTTCAATTAACAGCTGTTTCTTATGGAACGCTTCGTATGAAGCAATATATTTACGACACTTTTTGCTTTCAGTAATACTGATAATGATGCAAATATATATGTGTATAAATATGCAAGAAGATATATTCTCTTTTACTGATTTCATTTCTCGCAAGCACTTTGCGTAATTCAATTAATGTCATCAGATATGTAATTTTATTTTTTCACGATAAACAAAAAATGTAATACAAATTAATTATACTGATTTAAACAAATAAAGTTGTTGATCTGAATAAAAATAACTCTTACAATTCGAGATACACGTATATAAGCATAATATTCATCGGTATTTAATTAAATCTTATTGCAAATACAATATTAATTCGAGCGGAAAATAAAAACATTTCACATAAATATTTCATTCGATTAATAAAAAAAATAGCGATTACGTAATTGCATGCATCGCGCGCAATACCGACGGTAGCGACCGAGCTAAAAAGAAAACAAAATCATCTTGTGGTTTTAAAAGTTGCCATCAGAGCGCAGCATGCTCCATGCACTTGAATGCAAAATGGAGGCTCGAAAAGGCGCTGCGAGCACCACCGGTCGACGTGTTCGAGAACACGCGCGGCTTTATTCAGAAATGATAAATTTCTACTTTTTTTAGCGTCGATCGGTTGCGAGGTTAGAAATATTGCGCTACGAATCCGAGCAATCAGACAGATAGAAAGATACTCACATGCTGTCCGCCACGATGCTCCAATGATGACGCGTTCGAATCACAACCGCTGTATCCAACCGTCATCAGGGCGCGAGAGCAGACTCCGTCGTTTCACTAGGAACACGATGCTCGTCTGTCGCCTCGACAAGTAGCGTACACACTCACTCACTTTCACAGCACTCCGACGTTCCGACGCGGTCGTCGGTTCACGTCAAGGATTTCGGTTGTTTCCCCGTCGCCAAGACGCGCGCGTAAGCGAGCTTGTCAACCGCGGGGACAGCCGCATGGCATGGCGACGGCGGGCGCAACTCAGACTTGGAGTACGGCGCTTTAAACAGTACGTCATCGTTCGGCTCGCACTCCTATTGGCTGCTATAACGATAACCCGCCAATTCAGCAGAATTCTGCGAAATCGCGCGGGAAAGCAAAGAACTGTTACTACGTGCGCCAAAAAGCGCTTGCGAGCGAATGCCGTTCTTGAACCGGTCAATGGTTAACCCGCGGAGCTGATTATTTCTTTAAACCCGATTCAATAAAAATTATTATCACAGCGTTAACTATTTCTGTCGCATTTATATAACTTTTGATCCCAAAACAATATTTAAATTTTGTATTTGTTATATCGAATTTATTTAAAATAAAAATTAATTATTTAAATTGACATTTTGCTTTGTTAGCCAGCTAATCCAATGAAATCTCGCAAGGAATATAAAAAGACAAAGCTACTATGTACGTCAAATTTTATCCTGCTGATTATTAATTATTTTTTTCCTAATTATTAATCTATAAAATCGATGATTGACTTTAATGACAACGGAATAAAAATAGGATTATAATATTAATTATTTTTTCCTCAAAACATCATATATGTAATTTTTAAATCCAATATCCAAATTTTTTGCTCATTAAACTGTACCTTATATTTTGTTCATTAAACTTTATATTATGTTCGTTAAACTGTACTTTATATTTTGCTCCGTAATTCTATCAATTCGATAATTTCGTAAATATGAAAAGAGCCTTTCGTTACTGTGCGGGTTAGAAAGCAGATTGTTATTCGATTGATTAATAATCTGTATCAATCATTTCTCATTACTGGATGAATCGAGAATTGCTATAACATAAACTGTTTTTACGTGAAAATATCACATATATAGCTCTTGTACACTTAATAAAATCTAAATTTTATAATCGTAATACTCGGGTCAGTCAAGGTAACAAAATGGCGTTCAAATCTTGTACAATATATTTTATGCATTTCGGCCGTTATATGTGATATATGTGTTATATGTGATTTTAAGAAGAAAAAAAGTAAACATATATCAATACCTACGAAATATGCTCTCCATTCTCTATTTGTAGGCTCTAAAGTCTTCATTGTTGCGCTTGCGATCGCGTTCAAAGAAGATATTACCTATGGCAATCGAAAAGCGTCTCGTTTGCTAGATATCTCCGAAAAAGAACTAATTTGTACTGACGTTCGTTGTGCGTCGCTTTTCGTCATTGTTGCCAACAGCAAATCCACATAAAACTATTTCCAGCCAATCAAAAAAATCACAAAAATATCTAGAATTATCTACCTTTAGTAACTTATCTATGGCAAAATAGAGACCCTAGATCTTAGATGGAATATACAGCGCTATGATGTGCTGTAACGCTGCATGTTTTGTACTTTAATTATATATTTGAAAATTATTTAATTCTTAAAAAATTAAATTTATCCGCAATGACTTTTCTTATTTTATAAAAGTCAGTGGTTTTTAAAATTTTTTTCCCCTAATTTATATTTTATCTTTAAATATGGCGCCAATGTGAACATAGTTGGTCTTGACCAATCAGTAAAAAGTCGAAAAATGTCCGGACTCTTCCTCGAGAGCCTCTTTGCCTCTCCACACCTCTCTAATGCGATGTAAGCAGAGCTGCGGCTTGTGTTATCGTACGTCGCGTACGCCGTCGCGTACGTTCGAGTGCGTTTCGGCCGGATCTATTGTAACATCGACAAATGAGACGCAGTGAGCGGCGCGAGATCAATAACAAGTGCTTGCCGAGAGCGCAATTGAACGATGAATTATCTAAACAGTATAGCAAGCGGCATGACGACCGCTGATTCGGGTTTGCAACTCAACAATATCGAGGTTCTCTATACGAAGGTGCAAAGGATTTATATCAAACCGCAACAGAAGGAGGAACGCCAGCGGGATCTCAGAGTCAACGTCGAGATTCACGCTGGCATCAGTCCAGTTTGTCGAAAGGTAATTTCTGAGCAGTCTGCCTTTACGAATTTTACAATTTTGACGTATGGAATTGATAATTATTTTTATTTTATTATCAACAATCTACATTGTGCTTGATTGATGCAGCTTACAAAATATGTTGAATCTTGGTTTCTCATTTTAGAGTCTATGTGTTTTGCTAGCCGATGATGATGATTCTTGTTTTCTCTACTCTTTATTTATCACCGAAGATGACTTCAAAGTGCTGAAAGCGCAACAGGGACTTCTGGTTGATTTTGATAATTTTGCCACTCAATTAATATGCTTATTGGAGCAGTGTCACATTCCGGGCACAAGCCTGTCGAAGACTCCTCCAAAATTTCTTTTGCTGTTGGCAGAAGAGTCTGGAGATTGGAATTTCAAACTTGTGGAGACAAATAATTTCAAACATCTCTGTCATTTAAGTTTAAATATATCACCTGCAAGTGATTCTGATCTGAAAACACATATGGCAATGAAAATTAAACAGCTGAAAGAAAATATTTTACAACACAGCAGAGATGCAGTTAGTTTGGAAACTAGATTAAATGATTTAACAAGTAAACTAGAAGTAAAAACGAAGGAATTAGAACAATTGGAACATAAGTATTTAACTGAGAAGAGTCAGATACAAATTAATTCATCTCAACAAATAAGTTTGGAAAAAGACAGGTATTTATACAAAATGTATTACAATTACATAATTATTCTAGTAGCGATAGCTTTTTAGTATTTTTGATAATAAATTAAACATGTTTTGTATTTATTTTAATTAATATATATATATTTTTTTTTTAGATTGGCTCAAGCAAGATTAGAGTGGCAACGGCAGAGCGAGAAGGAGAAAACAGAAATTGAGCAGAGGCATGCTGAAACTATAAAACAATTGCACACAGAACTTGCTGAATTACGAACACAAAACATGACATATAAGGATAAACAATCTTTTTTAGAGGCTACCAATACGGAACAAATAAAACAACTACAGAGTCTTGAGAAAGAGCTTAATATCACTGAACGAGATTTGGCTCTACTCAAAAAGCAGAATTCTAAATTAGATGTAGATTACCATGACAAAGATAAAGCTGTCAACAACTTACGTACAAAAGTAGCTGTACTCGAACAAGAATTAAAAGACAAAACAGTGATTATTAACAAGCATATGGAAATGCTAAAAACAGGTAAAGAACAGAAGCAGCATTTAGAGGATCTTTTAGCTGAAAGAGATAGTCAGTTGCAGCGCAAGCAAAATTCCTTGAGAAGTTTAAGTGACGAGTTGGTGAAAGCCAATGAAATTTTAACCAATTTGCAAAAGGAACTTACAACGACCAAAACAAAATTAAAATTAAGGACGAGTATAGCACTGGAGCAAGAGAAATTGTTGGATACTAAACAGAAAGAGGTTGGTCAATTGGAAACCAAAATGGAAGGTCTTATCAGAGATGCGAGAGATGCGAAGAATGAAGTAGACAATTTAAAGGAACAGATTAAAACATTGCAACATCAGCTGGAGGAAAAAGAAAAAGTTATAAAGAACAATGATAACGGTAAGCTCATCACATTACGTTTTCTAGGTTAACAAGAATTTCATGAATGAAAAAATTAATACGATGGAATTTTTCTGTTGCAGTGATTAGTTGGCTGAATCGGAGGTTGGCGGATAATCAGTCTCCTTTACAAAGTGCTACTACTCCAGCTCCCATTACGATTCCGTCCTCTGTTCCGCTAACGTTACCGAGAACAAACAAGTTGTTTCCCAACCGATATGAAACACGCACACCTGCACCCAGTACGACACAACCTAGTACGTTATCGGGATTACCGATGAAAAACCCGATTGTGCAGAATCCGAACATTAATCAGACCACTCGTACGACAGCACGATCGATGGGTGTTGGTGTAACGGACAATTCGGTGGGACTGAATACCTTCAGTAAAAGCGGCCTAATCTCGAGCACCAGCACGCCTATGGAGCGCTTTAACGTGTTGAATAAGATGTCGGGAAATCCGCCGGCCTCCACGTCGGCGCCGGCTATAATTGAGAATAACGGCGGTCCAACAGTGATCTCGAACGGTATAAAAGCGAAAACCGCGAGTGTCGGCTTGCAGGGCGGATTAAGGAGAGCAGGTTTGTCTGATAAGCCTATATTACCATCGGCATATTTTCCTAAGACCCTGCATTGATCAAATGCTTGGACGGTATTATCAATGTAAAAACTGATGAGTTAAACTCATATCTCAGAGTACTTTAAGAATCAAAAGGTAGGAACGACAAAACTGCAATATTGCCATTAACAATGACAATATTTCAATTTGTCGTCTTGGCAGATAGTACAAATATTAGTAGAAATGATAAGTATTATTTACAAGACATTTTGACAAAGTAAAAGATCTGGAAAATTCTTAATCCTACATTGGCACTTTTTTATATACAAAAATGATCTTATCGGAGTAGAGTCAATTTAATTTTGGTGTGTCAATGTAAGATTAATAATAATATATAGTCCGTATGTATATATAGCGATACTAACATATTCCGATCTCGTTTATTACAACATAAAATGCATATATATTGCTACTAGTGAATTTATGATCAACTTTTTTATTAACTTTACAATTTGTTTTGGCTATAATATTTTAAATATGCTTTTAATATATAAATTGCTTGATAAAGGCTAATTAAAGCTTAATTGAGATTTATATCGAAATATATACATTAATGTGTGCTTATATAATTGAAGAGTTGCAATTTATAATATTAATTAATTAAAATAACTTTTGTTTTTCATGATTCTAAATCCAAATTTATTTTTAATTACTTAAATTTATGTCAAATTTTACCACAAGGTAATTTTTATCACCGATAAATTTGAAACGAGCGGGCTTATTTTAAGATTAACATAGCACAATTTCTGAATTTGTCACAATCACGATCTAACTGTCACGCAATGATTACTGATAATTAATTTTTAGATTATTATATAAGATTCGTAATTACTTTTATATATAAAGCATACTACTTACATTCTGATAGGTACCTGGAAAGTAATTTTAGGATTTTATGATAATTGTATATTTTTATATATAAATGAAAATTGCAAAAAGAAAGAATATATATGTAGAGCTCTCTAATTTTACAACTTACAATCGTATGAAAGATCAAGCAAGGCCATTACACGATTAATATGAATAAAAGAATGTGCCTTATATTGCAAACTAGATTAGAAAATTTCATATAGCTATATATACATGACTTATTGCAATTCTTTCTTAGAAACTATATTCGAGGAAAATTATTCGTTAATTGCAATATCGTACAAATGTAAAATTCTTATGCAAAAATTTTTTTTAACTAATATACCACAAGGTACAATCAAGTAAATTCAATTTTATCAAGCATGTCAATTTATTAAATTACATAAATACGGAGCAACAGTATTAAATATAATAAATAGCGGTAAGATGGTAAATAAATGATTTCATATATTTTACTACTTTTGTACATAACATTATATAATAAACGTCTATATTATATAAGAATTAATGCGTGATTCGCCGATGTATGGAAGGCTGCCAGTCTCATAATGTACAAGTATCTTTTTTTTAATCAGAATATCAATTTATAATATCGGAGGACTGACAGAAAATATAGAGAGACGTTACATTTCCATACATTTTTACACAACGCAGCACGATAGTTAATATTTATATAAAAATTAAGCTCGTTGAGACTCGTAAATTTAAGAACAATGATTACGTATCATCGCAGGTATCGAAGTTAATTTCCCGGAATGCAAATTACAGAAGCAATACTTCTTAAACGTGAAAAAACGATAAAACATTTGTCAGTATTAATAAACCAATGATGTGCATTAATTCGTATCAATGGGCGACGACGAGACACTATTGTTTGGTAGATCTGTACATCCCATATTTAGAAGAGGCATATCCGTCCGTTTACGTCTACGTTCACACTTTGGGCACGGTTTGCTGGCATTTAAACAATCCGCGTGAAATACGGCGTTACACGCCCCACACTGCAAACAGATACATCACAGAATTGTAAATCGTATTAAATGAGAGAGAGCTTCGGATGATCAAAGAGAAACTTACCCGAAATGTAGATTCCATATCAAAAGGATAAATAACCTTTGGATTATTGCACACTTCGCATATGAAACCTTTTTGACTGCAGAGCCAACAATTGATCACGTGATTTCTCGCGAATTCAACAACTTTCTGGAGCTGCTGCGCGAGAATCCCGTTGGGTATATCGTGAAGATCGGAAACCGAATATTGATGAACGTGTTCATACAAATAATCCCTTGGTGTGACCTTTTTCTGCAGTGATTCGATGATCGGCTCGCGGCACGTGAACAAGTACGCTCTCAGCAGATTCAGCTGAATCCGTAATGACTGCAACTGAGCCATAGTATCTACTGCCATGTAGATCCTCGGATTCAGAATTTTCAAATCCAGCAAGAGCGGCTTTTCTCTCAGATAAGAAGCAGCTTTTCGCGAAATTGAATATTGTTTCAAGTCCCAATTGTGAATCATACGTGACGGTATGAGATACTGCCCTTCCTCCATACATTTTGAACAATAATAATCGCCCGAGAACGAGCACACATGTGCTTGGGAAAAAGTCATGCCGATTGCGTGACCGCAATCGAAGCAGCTGTAATTTTGCACGTCCAAGCCCTTTTCCCTTGGGATATTACCTAATTGCTCGTCGAAATTTGTCGTAACCTGGAAAACAGTGCAAGAATTATATTTGAATTGCTGTAATTAAATGAAATTTTAATAGTAAAATTGTATTTGAATATTTATAAATATTTTGTTCATACCTTTGGCTCAGATTGAGCCTTAGATCCTTCCTCAACAGTCTCTCTCGTTGGATATTTCTTTAGAAATTCTTGCAGATCCGGCACTGAGCTATTTCCAGCAGTTTGGTAACTTAGAATCAGTGCGTCGTACGTAGCACCATCTCCGGGTGTACGAGCATCCGCTCCAGATCCATGAGATATCACAGATGAAGTTAGAGAAGACTGGCAATCCTCAAACGACGTTGACCATCCTAATTTTCCTATCAATGAATTCCCCACTGCCGCAGTAGTGTCATTAACAGCTTCGCTGTCTCTCACAGTATTTTGTAATGGATCTTCCATGTGAGTAGTATTATCTGTATCTTTCTTTTCTACATTGCCATTTGACATTTGTTGTACCTTCCTGACCTTTTCTTTGTCTTCCCCCTTATTCTTTTTTACGATATCTACAGGATTATTGTGTAACTGCTGAGTAATATTGTTTTCCTGCGTACTGGCACTTGGTCTGGCTTCTACGGAATCGTTGTGCAATTGCTGGATAGCATTATCGGATCTTTCTTTAGCCAGAATGATTTTCAACGCCTCATCCTCTGTGATAGAGACATTGTTAAACATAGACTGCGAGGAAGTGAATGATCCTATCCCAATAGAACTACCAATAGAACTTGCAGTTTCTATCTCTTCATCAAAATTGTCACTATAAGTTAAATCGCTGGTTATCGTCTTTGCTATGTCTACCGCACTAAACACGGGACAAGACTTCATCGGCGGTGACCAGATGCCGGCCAAAAGCAGAGGAGTGGTGGACCAGAAGTTCAAGAGACTACTGTTGCAAGCCAGCTCGAAACGCACGTAATCTAAATTTTCTACTAATCTCTGTGCAACTTCAACGAGATCTGCGTCCCGGATGTAGGCTGAACGATTGTAGTATGGTTTCAGGGCCGAGTTATCCCGCCTTATAGAGCAGAAGTAGCTAGCTAGCAGACCCTCGTTCAACGCCAGTCGTATCCAAGCTCGACAGTATCCGACTTCTGTACTGACTTGACTCAGAGTTTGTATTTGATCTATCATCTGACGATGAGAAAACACAAGCAGCGGACCCCAGAAACTTGGTTGCGGCATAGCGTCGAAGTCGGGACCGCTGAGGGCTTCCGTCACACGATTCAACAGACTGTCCTTCAAACCATGGAGGAAGATTGCCTCCAGCACGGAGCACAAAGACATAGTCTCGTCGCAATTGCCCACGACGCAATCTTCGGCGACCCCCGGCGCGCTCTGCATCTCCATGACACTTGTATTGAGATGTTTCTGCAGGGAATCCCTGATTAGTAAGTGCCGCTTGTTGCCTGCTATAGAGTTGACCGTTTTCAGCAAAGAGTTCATCTTGCACGCTACTAACACTGTACGTTACAACGAAAATACGTCTTCTGCAGCGGCTTCGTCGCTTCTGGCGCATCTTCGCGGTCGCGTCAAGAAAGGGGGATAAGAGGACTGCCCGAAGTTCGACCGAGCTTCCTCGTGGCCTTCCTCGCGTCCTTGTAGTCTACACTGTTCTGAAATATCACATGTATCACGATACGAGCCACACGGCTGTCACGATACTGACAAAGAAACAAGGAAGTGCCCGCCTGATGAACTCATCATATAAGCGGCGATAAGCGCCGAGCGCGTGCCAGATGTATTCACACACGCCAGCGTTATCGCTCACGCGTCCGTGAAGTAGGTTAGGTGCCAAAGAAACAAAACATTCGTGGCATAGTCCGAGCTTCAGTCGCACTCGATTAATTTTCTATCAGTGCGTACAAATTAATCATCGATATAATCTTGCAAATCTCTCGGCCGTTCTCGATGCGCGACAGAATTTTGCAACGTCATCGAGTGCGCAATTAAACGCGCTAAATTGCTCTGAAACTACTTCATCGCTGTCGACCAGCTGTTCACGAACTACGCACCGACCGATCGCGCAGCAGCCATTTCTAGGACATCTATTCCTTGAAAATAGTACACGACCCGGCGGTAGATCGCGCTGCGTCTCGCTGCCGCCACGGCACCGTCGCTGCACTTTGCGAATGCACCGGCCAGGTGCGCCCTCATATCTCACCGCGCACTTGTTCGCACTTGTCTCACCGGCGCCTTGCACTCACCCGATGCTATTTCCAGCGAAACGTCGTCCTTTCCCGCTCCGATGGGCCGTTTGTCTTCTCCACAGGAATAACAGAAGGTATTGAGCGATGGCGATGTTTAGCGCGCGACTAATTATAGATCAAATAAAATCGATTCTGTCCTTTCAACGCACAACGATGATCCTGCACATTCATGCAGACACCTTCCTCGTTTATCGTTGTACTTTGAAAAAAATGCGTGAATTGGAAAATATCACTGAGAATTTATCCCTTTAAATAGAACTTTAACCTTTAAGGTTTTCTTAGACAGATATTTATAATATTCTGAAGTTCAAAAGAAAATGTACGAAGCTAAATTCACATCGAAGTTCACGCAGGGGATGAGGTTAGAAAAATAGAATTTTACGTAAGGATTTAGAAACTGTGCTTTCTCTTTGCACTTTCATATTACGAAAACTAATAGCAGGGCTATGTGTGCAACGTCATTAAAAACGATAGTAATCGCGTTCTTCCAATTCAATAAACTTCAATCGAAACGCTTGAACGGACGATGCAAGTAACATGCTGTGATCGTACGGCACACATAGGTTTCTTTGGCGCTCCTCTAATTTAAGGGCTTTTTATAAGCGAACAATTTATTTTAAAAATAGCAAAGCGAGCGAGTTTAAATTCGGAAATAATTATTGATCCAATTTCGCGCATAAGTGAATTTTCGAAATTTATCGCGCACCGCTCTCTGAAAGTAAACGACCGATGTAACGTTTATCATCCTTTTCTATTCTCGTTTCTATATTTAGATACGCACTTAATGCATCTCAAATGTTGGAACAGGTATACCGTGTGTGAATGACCGAATACGCATGACGGAACGATGCGTGCTCCCCGGTTTGATTGCGATAGAACGCCGGGCATGGAGAGAAGAAGGAAAGAGAAAGTGCAAGCGGAGCGAAGCAGGCGTGAAGGAGACGGCAGGTCGGACACGAGGACAACGAAGCCGCGAATAGTGAGAGCAGGGATGTACGAACGTGTTTGAACAGCCATCGTGTGTGTGTTCTGCAGTTCTCTCTTCCAGAAAAAAAACAAGCTGCAAAAGCGTGAGTTGAAAATTATTGATATAGACTTGATCAAATAGAACTCTAATCTTGAAAATTTTCTTAGGCGATTGGACATTTAAATGTTTTTAAGTTCAAAGAAAATATACGAAGATTGTTCACGTTGAAACGCATGCAGGGGATAGAAGTTGCTGATTTTTCTATTAATAAAACAAATACGTCGAGAGATTTGTCTTACGATTTACATGCGCGCCATTCCATCTTGTTTACAATCGATACAACACGTGTTCAACCGGTGTGCTCCTTACATAAGATTTGTAACTGGAACATCCGCTGTGTTTCACACGTGAAATTTATTATCCGCAATTCCCACGTGCGAAAGATCAAATACCGTAACGGGTTTCTTGCGGTACGCAAAGCGTTCAGCCTGAAATTGTTATAAACGCCTCACATGCGCTCTTAATCCAACGTTTCGCAATCTAACACAAGTGTTACGTTAGCATTTCTTTTTACCGATTTACAATCCGATAATGCGCCGCGTGATCTTATCGTTTCGGCATTATCCATGCGCTTATCCAATTATACAATATTTATATAAATCTCGCGGACCTAACGAGTGGCAATTTTTACTTTCACAATTACCGGTTTATTGTTCCACGATTTGTCTGTCGACAAAGGCTCTTTAACTAACCGACAATTCGTACAGTTTACTTTACGCTTTGCGCGAGCTAAGCTAGCCGACTTCTATCCTCTCGTTGACGAAGCTAGTCGATGCGTGTGTACACCAACCTTCGCATTTCCTTTGTGCACACCACTAGAAACAATGCGCTTTCTCACGGTACGCAGAATTCTTAGCAGGGTTTAACGTTTACCACGCCGTATGCAATTTCAGGGAGCGCAAGTGCGTACACGCCGCGCGTTCTACTCCCTTTCATATGACCATATGCGATACTCGCATATCTTAATAAGCCGTGGAGGGACGACTCGCTCTCGGTTTTCAATTCGCTCGTCCACAACGTGCAAACATTGCGGACACTTTGCCCGAGAATAACACAGCGTAATGACGTTACTCGCATCTGCCGTTTTCTTATCTAACATTGCGTTCCGCAGTCGGTGTTTTTGTTCGTCTCCCCGTAAGCATTTATGTCACATTATGCAATCTGTTCCATCTATAATATTTACACGGCGAAGGATTCATAAATAGATGGAGAACGCGGAACGTGAGAGAATTTATTTATCTGTATAATTTCTATAAACGGTCGGGACACGGATATCTTTGGATTCATCGCGTTTCACGAGAGCGACGGTGAAGAAAGAAATCGACGATATCTTTGATTCACGAGCTCCTCTCTTTTTCCAATAGGATCGTACGTCCCTGCCGTTGCAGCATGGTGGGGGCAGAAAGAGCGGAGACCGAGGGTGTCGGTCGTCAGGTCGGCGCGGCGACGAGCAGTGGCGAGCGGACTCGTATGCGAGTCGAGTGAGTTTTCGTGAAGGTGTCGTCTGAGGGCTCGCGCCGCGGCGAAACTTGACAGTCTACAGTGAAAGAACTTGCGCCGGACAAGCCAACTAGTGTACAGGCATTCTCCGACCGTGGAACGGTTTGCGTCTCATCAGAAAGCTTCACAAAGGCTCGAGCGAAAAGCTCGGATCGCGAAGGACCTCTCGTAATCATGAAAGGTCTCGGCTCGTCGCGAAGCAGCACCCAGCATCGCGGAGGAATTTCCTGGTGAGCCTTCATTGGACACAGCGCTCGCGACAACGGTGGCGGTCTCGGGCCTCTCGCGAGAAGTACCGCAATTTCGAAAGGGCGGGGGTGCGAGCTATCGAACGGCCTTGCGGAGATGCACGTGCGTCGCGGCGCTCACTGGAGATAGGACGCACCGCTGTCTCCGTCCGAAAACAAACGTCACGTTTCTGGCGATAGTAAATCGAACGGGAGCCGAATTTCGTGACGTTTAACAGCATCGCGTGTTATATTCCATCCTATAAATGCCGACGCGACAACGTCGGTATTCTCTGTTCTGGAAGTCTTCCGTAATCAGCAAAAGAATCATTAATAACACAATTTTTATTGCCATTTAACATATGAGACGTCATCGCACGCGGATACGCTTTACGAAGACGGATACAACAGCTGATATATTCGTCTTGTAGAAGTTTTGCAGACTTGCTGGCAATTATCAAAGATATGAACCGGATATGACGGCGGACACGTGTGTCAGCTCGACTTATCGGTGTCGTGACGTCGATAGCTTCTGAAGGAGCTTGGAATCACTCCATAGTCATCGACCTAGATATGACGACGTGCTCTCGAGTGCGCTCTCGGACACGAGATTTCCCGACTGCTTCTGGATAAGAAGATTCGAAATGCCGCAATCGTCGTGCCGTCGAGCCAAATATGACGTGGAGTGCGTCACATCGGGATGTTAAAGTTCAGATTGCGATAATCGTCGACATTTCTTCGTCAAGTGTCCGATGACAACGCGGAGAGGGACGATTTTACGAACAGCGAGATTCTCAAACGGTAACTCTGCGGGATTTTGATCGCCAGGATGCTGCCGCCGAGCGTGATTGACGTGCAGGCCAGCACGCCGCGCGATGTGATGCTGAGCAGTCGCGGTCTGCTGACATCGGAGACGATATGCGGCGCCGCCGAGCTGCGGCCGACCTTCGAAGGAACGACGTGTCACATCCTCAAGTGTCACGAGGAGTTCGACGAGACGATCCGCACCGTCTCGGAGCCGGAGAGCTCAAAACGGAGAATCGAGAATTCGGCGAATTCGGGAACCGGCAGCACCAGGTCGGCGCCAGACGGCCGGCCGCGTCCGGGCTTCTCCAAGGGCTCTGCCTCTCTGCAGAGCCTGGTTCGTCGAAGAAGCCGCAGACATGGCGGCGGCTCGTCCCTACCCTCGGAGATCGAGCTGTCCTCGAGGCAGGCCGTCCACCCCGTGGACCTCGTCAAGGACATTGGTAGCGCGTTGCCGGTCTTCCGGAACGAGGAGGAAGCGCAAACCGCGACGCCGACTTCCACGCTCATCTACGCGACCACCAACTCGGCGCAACCATCGACTTCGAGGCTGACCGACAACCCAACGGCACAGGATGTTTCCTCGTCGGCCAGCAACGTAGCGGCTACCACTACAGGCGGCAACGTCACTTCGACAACAAACGCCGGACGTCTCGGAAACACAGCTGTCGCGTTGCTGAGGTCGATCAGCGTCGCGAAGCCGGGTCCCTCGACGTCGTCTTCGTGGAACAGCTCCACCGAGCAGGAGAGCGACTACGTCGTCGATCCTGTGCAGGGAAACGCTTACTACAAAGGCCAGTTTCTGGGAAAGGTGAGTACGCTGAATTGATTTTATTTTTTTTTAGTCATATTTTCTATTTGCGAATAGTAATTACAGAGAGATTTAGGAAACAAGTATTTTGTTTAATAACTTTATCGGCTTGCTGAATAATATATGTGCCAACATTCCTTGGGTTGTTTAAAATTAATTGCCATTTGCAACTATTAATTACAGAGGTTTGAAAAGCAGGTATTTATAAATTTATTGTTGGTTAAATGTGTGCGCCAAGTTTCTCTTGATTATTGAAAATTCACTATTTGCAACTAGCAAGATTACAGAGATTCAAGAAACAAACATTTATATAAATTAATTGGCGTCTTACAAAGGCTAGTTTTAAGAAAAATATATATACGTCTAATATATCTTTGGGTTTAAAAAAATTTTATATACCATTTGCAATTAATACAAATGGAGATTTAAAAGATTTAAATATTTATAAATGCATTGTTTATTCTGCCTGGCGACAAGTAAATGCACCTGTCGCAAGCTCGTGTCGCGGCGCCGAACGCATTGTCGAGGTCCCGTTTTTCGAGTCAAGAAGGAATGGCATGCCGCGACGACGTGGGAATCGTGAGGTTACGATTCGTTTAAAGCCGTCGCGACCTTCCTCGCCGGTTTGATACCGTTCTCCGTAACTTAGCCGCGTGTATACCGTTTACGATATCTCTTTAAAACCTGTCACCCGACGGTGAATCGACGGGTGTAATCGAGCGCGTCGCGCCGTAATCCTTATTGTTTCGCCATCAAGTACATATACTCGTCGCGACTGGCTGCCGCCCACCGGAAAGGCGACGAGCGTACAAGAAAGGAGTATCGGATCGATTCGAGATGCAGACGCAATCATCCGGCAGCATCTCCGCGATAATTTCCGCTACTTTGTATCGCATTCTCATTTTCCATCGCGGGGCTGTAATCACGTTCTCCGCGATGCGGCGATAGAAATCGAATCGTTGTGCAAATCCGCAGGATAAAACTGCTCGCACCGCTCGCTCGATCACGCGCAAGAAAAATACGAGACTTCCGAGCGACTTAATTTTCGCGCGGTCAGCAACGAGGTATGCGAATACTTCCTGTGGTAAACAACGCGCGTAATGCGAAGCGCTATCACGCGAAAAAATTCGCCCGGGGCTCGGCCAGGGGAAATTACGCGAATGCAACCTCGCGAGCAGATTAAAGCTTTTCATTAAATACGTGGGCGCAGCTCCGCTCCGCGAAGATGCAGCGTGGGCGGTGAGTCATACGACGCTCATTTTCGCATACCGGGAATTCTGCGATAGAAGTCCCGGCGACGTGCCGACGGCGGCTTCGGCGAAAAGTGATGAGGCGACAAAAGAGCGCCGTGTAGAGGTGCGTACGTATGCAACTTTAGACACGGGTTATCTGGAACGCTCGGATTAGACGTACCTTCGGCCCGAATCGGCTCTATCGCTCCGATTATCCTGCGCAAACAAGCGACGGTGCCGGCGCGTGTTTGCCAAGATAAAACGCGCTCGCCGGCGAGACGAGTGCACGTTTCGCACGACACCCCGTAAAATTGTGAGAAAGAGCCGGTTTCTCGCTTCCGCGACGCAATCGTGGGGCTTCGAATGGAGGGCACTGCGTTTGAACCCGACGCGCACACAGTTGCCGTGGCACAGTTCGTACGTGGCCGGCATTAAAAATGAGGCATTTAAAGCCGCGCGCCGGCTTTATCGACGACAACAAATTCCTCTTCTCGCGAGAGGATGCGTCCGAGCGAGTCGTCGACTCCGCGCCATGCATAATACATCGACGTACGGGTGGACGGCAGGGTCAACGATCTGTCCCAAGGTCGAGTTTTCGCGGGGCGCTTCCTTTCGATTCGCGGGAATAATTAACGGAACGAGCGCGGCCGGGGTCGCCCGCGTCCGAGAACACCGCGTCAGCGATTCGCGAAACGTCGGCTTCGCGAATCGCCGACAGCGCGAGACAAATATCGCGGCACGCTAACAGCTCTAATTGCATTCCGCTAATGCGGACATTAGCGATTGTTAACTGTTGTTGCGGATAATTACGTGCGCTTAGAAATTGCCGCGCACGGGCCGTGTTCGTTTAACGCGACTCCATTAACGACACTTCGTAATTCCCTTCGACATGCAACAGCAGCGACGTATCCCCTTGACACGATATATCAAATGACGGCTCTTTAATTAATGACTTTCTGTTATTGCTCCAGTTCCCTCCGACGAGGGAAAGCTATTTTTCTCTTTAGCTTCGATCGTAGAAACTCCACGACAAAATCGCGAGCGCAACTTTTCCTTCTGCCGTCCCTTAGCGCAACTTACGGGGCCATAAGTCCGTCGACAGACCGGAGTCTATCGCTCACCAGTCGAATACATTCCTTATTCATAAGGCGGTACACTTTACTTCTCACAACCCGGTTACATAACGAATGGTCTATTACTGCGGAGCATATTATATTACTCGAACTTATAAAATGTGTTTCCTGCGTCTAGACAAATGTTTCTCGGAAACGAACATAGTTTTAGAACATGGCGATTATTCTTCGCTCGAGTCTTAGACTGTGCTCTTTCCAGCGGAACAAACTTTTTGCCGCAGAGATTTTCTATAGCTTGTGATTGATAACAACGCGAAGAGAGAGAGAGAGAGAGAATATAAATCAAAGAGTTCTTTTTTTTATTCGTAACTTTTTTTCAAAGGAGAGATGTCGTCACGTTGTCAGGTGTAGATTTCGCACATACGCACTTTGCGTCGCCCAGAGCGGGAAAAAAGTTGCGAGTTATCTCATTATCATTACCCGTATCGAGAGTAAACTTCCATTCAGCTAACACACCCGCGGCACTCCCCAAGGCGGTCTCGTTACATCAATCTCGTTGCTTGAAACTTTACCGTGCGCTCGAGATCTCGTTTCAATCTCCGTTAATCGCGGCCGCCCGATCTTCACGGTACTTCGTTTTACGCGAACGCGGAAAATATCCTATCGGCGGCGCATCGATGCGGATCGACCTGCTATCGATTCTTCGTTCGTACAGGAAATAAGGCGCGTTTTTGCAGTCGATCGATCGATCCGCGGGAAACTTTTCAATCCGACGCGAAGAGAGACGCATCCTCGGAGAGCGATGCGTCTCGCGTCGAGAAAGATGCATCTCTTCGTCCGTCGTGTTGTTCTGCATCTCAAACAAATCGCTTACTATTCATCGGACAGGCTCGTACAGGAAATATTTTCGCGGTGATCGATCGGCGCGCAAGGCTGCGTCTTGTGCGGTCGTAATGTCGAAGCGTTATTTCGGAAGACGCCAGTGGGTGATCTCAAAGCGCACAAGAAATATTTCGTGTCCCGTCGTCGGGAGATCATTTCCGTAGATTTCGTCATCCGGCGTTGTTAAATTGTGGCGCGGAAAAAACGAGCCGGCTCTCGTTATCGATCAGGTCGCGGGGAGAAATATTTCACGTCGGTGCACGACGCGCATCGATCGCGATCCACGAAAGGCCGCAGCTCCGCAAGGCGCGAGGCTTCCACCGGCCGGGAAGATAATTTCAGAGGATGCAGTCTCGAACTGTATCCTCCTGCTCCGCGGAGAAAACCGGTCGTCGTTTCGTCATCCCGATTATTCGCACCCGGTCGCACTCGGGCGTTACCCCGCGCGCGTACTCGCCGTATCTTATGTTAGAAATCGGGCTTTCCGTTATGCGCGCACCGCGGCCGATACTTTATCAAAACCCACCGTTGATATTTCCGTGTTCCACCGATGCCCCCGCACTTCGACGCTATCGCGATTATTCGCCAACCGGTTGCCAGTTTCTACGTTTGCACTTTAGGATAAAGTGAAGGCGCGCGCAGGTAGGCTGCCGATCCGTGCGGTTGCCGTGTCACAAAAAGCATACGGATGGCTCTAACAGCGAAGCTCCGAACGAGAGATTCTTTTATTAGCCCACACTGCAGACGATCGAGCTACATTTCTATATTCGTGAGAGAATTCAAAATAAAATTTCACTTATAATTTTGTAAATGCACACAAAATTATAAGTAGAATTTTATTTTGAGTGATCGCGCGAATATACTCAAGGTAGCTTGATCCAATTATTCGTTGATAGCAAATTTCTGATGTCATTTGGAGACGAAAATTTTTATAGCAAAATGTCGAGGCTGCAGTAATTTTTAAATGTGAGATGTTAAAAGTGGAGCGATCAAAAATTTACCGTCAAAAATTCACGCACTCAAGCACGTCGCGTACTGATTTTTATTACCATATATACGAAATGTCATTAATCTACTATTAATCTAAATAACTTGTACATTATTTTGTAATCTATTCTCTTAATGAGAATATAATATATATAAATGTAATAAAATGTATTAACTTACCGGCACGATGCGCAGCAGTGGAATAATGATATAAAAATCATATATGACATGCCTGTGAGTGTACGAATTTTTGGCAGTTTGATCGCTCAACTTTAAACATTTTACATTTAAAAATCATAGCCTCGACATTTTGATATAAAGATTTTCGTCTCTTAATAAATCCTGAGCAATCTGCTGATCCGATTGATCTTAGACACTCTGTATCAGTGATATGTATTTTATATATGTGTGTTCTGATTCTCTTTGACATTTTTATTACATAAAATATAAATTGCGTGCAATAAATTATAAGTAGATTTCCAATTTTATTGGAAATTATAGATCATTTAAAAGCAGGATTTCACCGCAATATATTTTATACAGACAATATTATTTTATCAATATCTTTTATCTGATTATTATTATGAAATCAACGAAGAATGCAGCAGCATATAAGCGGGCGCTGTACAATTTCTATTAATCGAAAATAAACGAAGCATAACGGGTTATCAACGGTACTATCGTCAACGTTAAAGAACCAGCAATGGTTCATTAATCTCGTTGGTCAAATATCGCGGATGGCTACGCCACATTTATGTGGAAAAAAACGGCTGTACGCGACTTCTTTCGCACGAATGCTCCTCATTGTGCGACGTTGTTATCTCGA